ACGGTAACGGCAGCAAGACAGAGTGAACGAGTGAGAGAGAGAGAGAGTTTTTAGATGTGGAAGATTTGTGACGTTTAGTGTGGAGTGTATACTTAGTTGTTATTATTGTTATACTTAGTATTGTGTTGTGTAGTTTTTGTGTTGTGTAGTTGTTGTTTTATTTTGTGTCACAAAGGCACATTTGCAATGTAAACACTGTCACTAAGTAGAAAACCAGTGGAGTGATACAACTCCTGTTGTCAGGCCTGCAGGTTTATCCCTGTGCTGTTCTCCTCTGTCTTTTGGTGGACAAACTTATTTTTTACTGGCACACATCATTTGTGGGCCATCTTATTGCGACACCTGATTGTTCTCTCATTTTAGTTTTAGTAATATTTTTAAATTCTTATACAAAATGAAAAAAAAAACGGCAGGTGTATTAGCTGCATTTTTAGATAAATAGTTTTATATGTTTACAAAATGTACAATTTATATTTGCATTTGAAGTTATAACAATTTACTCAACATGTCTGTGTGGTTTTTCTTACAGTAAAAAAAATACTACTAGGATTTGAAGTTATTTGTGTGATTTCAGATCAGTAATACTAATGCAGTATGTCAGTGAAAACAACTAAATTCAGTTGAGCTGAAAAGATACCAAACAAGGCAAGGGGGAAAAAATGAAACAATTTGAGGGTGAAATACAAACGTAAACTCAAAAGGAGTCAAAAATGGCCGGTTGTATTTCAGACCTCAGTGGGTTAATCCAACAAATCATGAAAAAAAAATAGGTTTAAATTTTTGTTCATGACAGTGCAGATTTCTGACATTTTGTGTAATTTAAGCTGTAACAATGTGACTGTTTTCTGACAAAAAACAGTTAGACTTGGATTTGTAAATGAACCGCCCCATGTTGTGTAGCTTTCTGGATTTTATACTTATTGGGCTACATATTTATTTATTATACACGCTGTACAGTGCATAGCATCAAAACTCACATGTTTTATGTAACTAAAGTGTTTAATTATGTGGGCTAAAGACAATAATTAAGTTATATGACGTGTATGCTTGCTGCATTTGGATTATTTTAACCATATATAACCACCTGCATATGTGTAAGAAAAAAAGGGCTTCGATTTTGCCACCCCATTTGATTTCTTTGCCACCCTCATGCCACCCTAAGAAAATTACTCTAGATCCGCCCCTGTGTGTAAGGCCCAGGTGGACGATATATGATAACAAGTATGACCGGTTTCTGAGTTTTACAGCTGGGGTGGACAAGGCTAAGCATCAGGCTTTCAAATGAGTTAAAAGTCCTTTATGGTCTTTCGTTGATTAACAGGCTGGTGTGAAAAACTTGCTGCCACCCCCCACCCCCGGCCTGTGCTTCGAGGTTTCTAATAGTTAGAATGACTCGGGGGTGTCAATTCATTTAAACAAACATAATCATCCTGCTGCAACCAGGTTTCAGTAAGGTAAGGTAAATCAATTTGTTAATTAATTATTAACCTTTTAAAACCGGTCAGAGCGGGCATGCTCCTTTTTGCCTATCTATTTTTAAACCCCTGTAGAACTGCAACCATGTAAGCTAGCGCAATAATTTTTTTTCATATGAAACCAGAGGAGTTTAAAAGCCATCAGCTTGTCCTAGGTCGCGGTTTCCTTCCATATATAGTTTTGCAAAAATGGCATAAAAGCACCTGCAGCAAAAAAACCATGATATTCCAGAAACACGCTTTGCCGAACTGATCAGCTGTTCTTAACACTTCCTACGTTGGAATAGATATCAGCGCGAATTATCGCATGTCCGCCATTACCTGCCCTAAACCGAAAAATGTAGTTTTTTTTTTTTTTTACCTTCGCTGCCTTAAAAGCCTAAAAGTAATGTAAAAGTAAAAATTAAAAGTAATGTTTGACTTTATGCTTTTCTGAATTGTTTCTGGGATGCTTAGAACTCAAATTGCACTGCTGGAAATAGCTTATTTAGATGCACATGCTGTTTTTTATTTTCGTTTTTCCTGCAGTATATAAAAGTTTGCATATCTCAAAAATAAAAATATGAAGACACTCCAAATAAATTTCCTGTTGTTGGAAATTATTTTGTGCAACTTTTTTTGTATTTAAAGTTGTGAGGGATAAACCTCTCCAACTAGAAATATATGTTAAAGAAAAAGATTTTCAATTTTTTTGTAGTTTATTGCACTTTTACTGAATTTACGTTTACCCTTAGCCAGCAGTTTTAAATTTCCCTCAGTGTCGCCTGCTCTGGCCTCTGGAAGACAATTACAATCTGACTATGGTTGCCGGTGTCTTTAGCTTCCCATGACTGAGAACCGAGTCATGGGAAGCCGAGCCGAGTGGGTAAAAACGGTTCAACACATGAACAGGTTGGTGGTGTACCTGGGGCTATGCTTCCTCCTCACCGTCACCCAGCCGCCCTCTTTCCCCAGCTGCTTGGGGTCTGCTAGCTGCGGGTGAATGAAGGGTGCGAAGCCAAGTCTCCAATTCAGTAATCCTGGCCTCCAGAGCTGCAAATATGTTACATTTGTTACAAGTGTCATTACTGCTAAAGAAGGCCGAGGAGTAACTAAACATCTGACACAATGAGAAGTAAAGTGCACGAGGGACAGGTGATGCTAGCAAGTTAGCTACGAGCTAAGCTAAGCTAGCGAAACAGTAAAGACACAGTGAGTGAACTTACCTTGGCTATAAATCGTGGCGATCGTGGCTCAAGAGTTGGGAGTTCGCCTTGTAATCGGAAGGTTGCCGGTTCGAGCCCCGGCGCCAGTGTTTGGCAGCCTCACCTCTGTCACTGCGCCCCAGGGTGGCTGTGGCTGTAATGTAGCTTGCCATCACCAGTGTATGAATGTGTGTGTGAATGGGTGGATGACTGGATGTGTAAAGCGCTTTGGGGTCCTTAGGGAGTAGTAAATGCCATTTACCATAAATTAGGTAGAGAGTACACAGAAATTGTGCTTCGGATGAAGCACGTGAAGATTATACTATGAAAAAAAACTGCATCTAAAAATTTTTAATTAAATTGCTAAGCAGATAAGCTGCTCAACAACACCACTGTGTTTAAGCAGGCAACAAGCCACACAGAACTGGCTACACTAGGCTGGAGAACTGTGACTCACCGCAGTGAGGTCAGACCGGTGCGTAAGAGAATACGCAACATGGCCCTACTGGCATAAAAACCGGTGAAGCACAGGCAATATGCCAGGGGAACACAGCCTGGAGCAGTGCTGGCCACTAGGCCCAACTCAAAGGATGTCAGGAGGGAGGAAGGCGGCTGTAGGACAGTCCTCCGTGCCTCACTTGAACACGGCTTTCTCCTGTACAGGTCCCTCAGCATAGCGAGGTATACCAGCTGTCACATTGACCAGGACATGTCCTTCAATGCACATGTTAAACAAATATGTAAGACTGCGTTCTTCCATTTGCGCAACATCTCTAAAGTTAGAAATGTCCTGTCTCAGAGTGACGCTGAAAAACTAGTTCATGTATTTATTACTTCCAGGCTGGACTACTGCAATTCATTATTATCAGGATGTCCAAAAAACTCGCTGAAAAGCCTTCAGTTAATCCCAAAAGCTGCAGCAAGAGTCCTGACAGGGACTAGAAAGAGGGAATATATTTCTCCAGTTTTGGCTTCCCTTCATTGGCTTCCTGTTAAATCCAGAATTGAATTCAAAATCCTGCTCCTCACATACAAGGTCTTAAATAATCAGGCTCCATCTTATCTTAATGACCTTGTAGTACCATATCACCCTATTAGAGCACTTCGCTCTCGCACTGCAGGCTTACTTGTTGTTCCCAGAGTATTTAAAAGTAGAATGAGAGGCAGAGCCTTCAGTTTTCAGGCCCCTCTTCTGTGGAACCAGCTTCCAGTTTGGATTCAGGAGACAGACACTATCTCTACTTTCAAGACTAGGCTTAAAACTTTCCTTTTTGCTAAAGCATATAGTTAGGGCTGGACCAGGTGACCCTTAGTTATGCTGCAATAGACGTAGGCTGCCGGGGATTCCCATGATGCATTGAGTTTTTCCTTTCCAGTCACCTTTCTTACTCACTATGTGTTAATAGACCTTTCTGCATTGCATCATATCTGTCATTAACCTCTGTCTCTCTTCCACAGCATGTCTTTTATCCTGTCGTCCTTCTCTCACCCCAACCGGTCTCAACAGATGGCCGCCCCTCCCTTAGCCTGGTTCTGCCAGAGGTTTCTTCCTGTTAAAAGGGACTTTTTCCTTCCCACTGTCGCCAAAGTGCTTGCTCATAGGGGGTCATATGATTGTTGGGTTTTTCTCTGTATCTATGAGGCGCCTTGAGGCGACTTTTGTTGTGATTTGGTGCTATATAAATAAAATTGAATTGAACATCAGGCAATCCTGGTCGCCTGACCGGAGCCGAGCCCTTAAACATCAGCCTCCTGATAATCAACCTCGACCAGCACAGGCCTCACAGAGGTGGGGCCATGGGAAGGAATGCTGCAGGAGGGGCCCGGAAGCAGGGGACCCAGACCATGGGTCCTGCTTCCCGGGCTCCATTCCAGTGGCAGCCAGAGGGGATGGAAGATTTTTCAAAATCCACCTCAAAATAATCAACCTCCACCGGCCCAGGCCACACAGAGGTGGGGCCATGGGAGGGACATTGCAGCCATCATCCCCATTTTTGCCTGAGGCATGAGAAGGGGGAGGGCTAACTGTGTCCACAGCCCGCCTGCAGCTGTCGCGTCCGCTCTATGCTTGATAGGACATGCAGCCCTGCCCAGAGAGGGCCCGAAGGGCCATCCAGAGGGACTGGGGGCGAGGCTATCAGGGGAGGGGCAAGGTCTGAGGGAGACTTAATCATTGTGTCATGTCAAACACAGTAAGAGGAGCTGAAGCACAGATGTGAAGAGCCGATGCTCATCACATTATGACTTCACTCTGTTTTGACTTCATATACATTCAGTCTGTGTATATAATGAAGATTTTTTGCTTTTATAAACACACATTTTATATTTTCTCTAATTACAGACTGACTCAGTGTGGACTCTCAGAGACTCACTGTGAAGTTGTGGCCTCAGCTATGAAGTCAAACCCCTCCCATCTGACAGAGCTGGACATGAGTGTAAATGATCTTCAGGATTTAGGAATGAAGCTTCTGTGTGCTGGACTGATGAGTCCAAACTGTCGGCTGGAGACTTTGAGGTGAGTTCACTGACTGCAGCTGTTTTTGTTTTTCTATATTTCAGATCTTTGGTTGAAGTTTGAAACTTCCTTTAGTTCATAAGTGTTCAGAATGTGTCTGAAGACAAATGTGAATAAGTTTGAGAACTTTCAGAAATGTTTTGTATTTCCAAACAACTGAACAACGGTTTTTCCTTTTGGCTCCAAATAGAAGTGACAGACTTGAGCAGGTTTCATTTAAACGCTGACAGAAGTGGAGTGGTGATGGGTAGATGTTTTAGAGGACAGTTTTTCAGCTTCCACAGGTTCATGTTGTGCTTCATCAGTCAGTCAAGATGAAGTCAGTACTAATGAGGCTGTACAGTCATGGCCAAAAGTTTTGAGAATGACACAAATATTAGTTTTCACGTTTGCAGCTAATCTGCTTTTAGATCTTTGTTTCAGTTGTTTCTGTGATGTACTGAAACATAATGACAAGCACTTCATGCATTTCAAAGGCCTTTTTTTGACAATTACATGAGAGTTATGCAAAGAGTCAGTATTTGCAGTGTTGGCCATTCTTTTTCAGGACCTCTGCCATTCGACTGGGCATGCTCTCAATCAACTTCTGGGTCAAATCCTTACTTATAGCAACCCATTCTGTCACAATCACTTCTTGGAGTTTGTCAGAATTAGTGGGTTTTTGTTTGTCCACCCACCTCTTGAGGATTGACCACAAGTTCTCAATGGGAGTTTCCAGGCCATGGACCCAAAATGTCAAAGTTTTGTTCCCCGAGCCACTCAGTTATCACCTTTTGCATTATGGCACAGTGCTCCATTGTGCTGGAAAATACATTGTTCTTCACCAAATTGTTGTTGGATTGTTGGAAGAAGTTGCTGTTGGAGGGTGTTTTGGTACCATTCTTTATTCATGGCTGTGTTGTTAGGCAAAATTGTGAGTGAGCTCACTCCCTTGGATGAGAAGCAAATCCACACATGAATGGTCTCAGGAATCCTTGTCAAATGCCTGAACCACCTCAACGGACTCCTTTTGATGTGGACAAGCAGCAGCTCTAATCTTAACCCCTCCTGGATGGCTGAACTTCTCACTATCTCTAAGGGAGAGGCCAGCCACCCTTTGGAGAAAGCTCACTTCTACTGCTTGTATCTGCGATCTCGTTCTTTTGGTCACTACCCATAGCTTGTGACCATAGGTGAGGGTAGGGATGTAGTCCGACCAGTAAATTGAGAGGTTCGCTTTTACACTCAGCTCTCCCTCCACCACAACAGACCAGTACAGCGTCCGCATCACTGCAGCCACAGCACCCACAGCACCAATCCGTGTGTCGAACTCCGGCTTCCTTCTCCCAACGCTTGTAAACAAAACCCCGAGATACTTAAACTCCTCCATTTGGGGCAGGAACTCGCCCCCAACCCGAATACTACAAGAAAACCCCAACAATTGCATGACCCCCTATGAGCAAGCACGTTGGTTACAGTGGTAAGGAAAAACTCTGTTTTAACAGGAAGAAATCTCTGGCAGAACCAGGCTCAGGGATGGGCGGCTATCTGCAGTGAATGGTTAAGGTGAGGAAAAGAAGACAGGATAAAAGACATGCTGTGGAAGAGAGACAGAAATTAATGACAAGTATGACTGAATGCAGAGAGGTCTATTAACACATAGTGAGTGAGAAATGTGACTAAAAAGGAAAAACTCAATGCATCATGGGAATCCCCCAGCAGTCTACACCTTTTGCAGCATAACTAAGGGAGGATTCAGGGTCACCTGGTCCAGCCCTAACTATATGCTTTAGCAAAAAGGAAAGTTTGAAGCCTAATCTTAAAAGTAGGGATAGTGTCTGTTCTCCTGAATCCAAACTGGAAGCTGATTACACAGAAGAGGGGCCTGAAAACTGAAGGCTCTGCCTCCCATTCTACTTTGAAATACTCTGAGAACAGCAAGTAAGCCTACAGTGTGAGAGTGAAGTGCTCTAATGGGGTGATATGGTATACTATAAGGTCAGTCAGATAAGATGGGGCCTGATTATTTAAGACCTTGAATATGAGGAGCAGGATTTTGAATTCAATTCTGGATTTAATAGGAAGTCAATGAAGGGAAGCCAATATAGGAAATGTGCTTGCTCTTTATAGTCCCTGTCAGTAGTCTTGATTCAGCATTTTGGATTACCTGAATGATTTTCAAGGAATGGGAAAATGAATCCATAGTTTCAAATGTAGAAATAGTCGTCGGTTCATTTACAGAGTTTAATACAGTTCATGAGCAAATGAGAAATGTTCAAAACAGCAGCTGAGAAGAAATCTGCTTCAGAAAGTTGTATCCAATTCCAATAGTTTGTGATGCACGTGAATGCAGCGTGAGCAGTTCACTGCCTAACCTCACAGAGACTGTCATTCAGTTACTGTCAGTTAGATTTCAGAGCAATCAGAGACTGTGGGTCTGTGTATGAATCATAATTGACGTGCAGCTGTTGAAGTTGTAGAATGAGAAATGGCAATTTTTGGGTATTTTCTGCTTTCATTGTCCTGCTTGTGCTGATAAAAATCTTTATTGACGTGTGAATTCATTCTTCAACGCTCGATTCTGCCTGAACAATGTGAAAACTTTTTTTTTTATCTTTGTGTAACACAATTTAACACACTGAAGCATCGACTTGTTGCATTATCTAACAATGAAGTTGGTTGGAGAAGCTCAGAGCGGTCGCGAGTTCTCAGAATCTGCTCTTCGAGCGTAAGATTGATAACATCATGGAGAAGCTCACGGCTCTCCAACGGGAGATTGAGAGACCAGTGTCGGACTGGTAGAACAGCTTTGAAATTTATGTGAGTTGTTTGCACTAAAGTAAAAACCACCATAATTTCATGCGGCTACCAAGTGTGGCACAGCTTACGGCCAATGGCTGCGCCTGCTGGAGTGTTGTGAGTGTTGTGATCCAGGTGTAGATGTAACAACTCATTCATCACATTTATTCCTTCTATGAAGCTCCTTTTTCTCTCACTTTGTCTCAATATTATTATAAACATGAGAACAGTTTTCACTTTGTAAAAAACCTCACACCCTTTCTGTCTGTGTCTGATGCCTGTTGCATTATGGGTAACAGGGATTACAGGCCAGCCAATCAGAGTTTGACAATAAAGCCAAAGATGGCCTCCAGTGAAGGTGGGACATGACGGCTGACATGACTGTAGACTGGAGCCTGAAACAGGATCTGCCAGTTTCATGTAATCATATAATTTTAATGTCATTATGTTCAGATGTGGAAACATCACTGCTTATTTTATTGTTCACAATAAATCCATGATGGCTCCATGTGGCCACGGCTTGATGTTCAACTTACAGAACCCTGGGCACAAATGTGTGATGGACCCTCGCCAGGTGGATTTGAACGCTCGGCTTCTTTTCCTCCTTCAATAATTAGACATACAAGGCACACAGTGTGTGTACAGAATAGCTGGAATCATTATGGAGGCCTCATTGGAATATGGAAAGTGTGTGAATGTGTGTGTGAATGGGTGAATGACTGAATGTAGTGTAAAGCACTATACAAGTACAGGCCATTTACCATGTAAAGGGAAGGATCACAGTACAGCGTCACTAGCGCTTTAAAATCTCTGATATGAAATGAGAAATGAAGCAGCCAGAGCTTTTTCATGAGTGGAAATCCACTGTGATTTTGAGCTGCTGCTACAGCCGCCAGATTAGCCAGCAGCTCATCCTGCTCAACATTTTCTCACCAACTTTAATGGAAGTGTGATGTTTTCAGCTGGATTGATGGTCAGTGTTGCCTCCCTCTCCTCTTCTTCCTCTTTCATTTGTAAAGCCACTTCTGCTGCTTTCATTAGGGCCCGAGCAGTGAGAGTGCGAAGATGTATCTCCTCCGTTTCTTTAGTGCCCGAGCACTGAGAGTGCGAAGGCCGTATTGTATCTGCTCCGTTTCTTACTATTAGGGCCTGAGCACTAAAAGTGCGAAGGCCCTATTGTATCTGCTCCGTTTATTATTAGGGCCCGAGCACTAAAAGTGCGAAGGCCCTATTGTATCTGCTCCGTTTATTATTAGGGCCCGATCACTGAAAGTGCGAAGGCCCTATTGTATCTGCTCCGTTTATTATTAGGGCCCGAGCACTGAAAGTGCGAAGGCCCTATTGTATCTGTTCTGTTTATTATTATTATTATTAGAGCCCGAGCACGGAGAGTGCGAAGGCCCTATTGTATCTGCTCCGTTTCTTTTTATTATTATTATTATTATTATTATTAG